GTGACACAAGCTGCCTAACATGGGAGAAAAATAGTATACCTACCCTGGGTAAGTTTCCCCGTGACACAAGCTGCCTAACATGGGAGAAAAATAGTATACCTACCCCGGGTAAGTTTCCCTGTGACACAAGCTGCCTAACGTGGGAGAAAAATAGTATACCTACCCCGGGTAAGTTTCCCTGTGACACAAGCTGCCTAACGTGGGAGAAAAATAGTATACCTACCCCGGGTAAGTTTCCCTGTGACACAAGCTGCCTAACATGGGAGAAAAATAGTATACCTACCCCGGGTAAGTTTCCCTGTGACACAAGCTGCCTAACGTGGGAGAAAAATAGTATACCTACCCCGGGTAAGTTTCCCTGTGACACAAGCTGCCTAACGTGGGAGAAAAATAGTATACCATTAATGGGTATCATGAGCATTAATTTTGCTCATAACTCCAGTATTTTCAGTTGTGTTGTGAGATATGTGATGTAGGTTGATTCCGACTTTTGTCATGGTGTTTGACAATTTAAGCCTACCCTAAGATAACAAGAAGTGCTTCTCTGTGGAAGTGTGTATCAGCCAGACAAAGAAGTTGTACAATTACACTCTGGCATGAAACTATTTAAACAAACATTAAAATAACCTTATTTTTTAGCTGATTTAGTTATTTTCCTCTTTAGATTACTGACGAGAGTGTAATACGCTTGGCCTTTAATGGAACTCTCGAGAAGCTGGTGGCTAGAGCATGTTCAGGACTCACTGACAAATGTAAATAGATATGGGCTTTGAGAACGATTTTTACGTAGAGAGAAAGCGAAGATCACAATTAGAAAACCAGAATAAAAGATTCCAAAATGATCGAAATCGAGTAACTAATGGCGCCTTGAACATCACCTACAGTATGGCCACATAAAAATATTTGGAGTTGGGTTTTGTCAGTTTTGAGGCTTCTGTATATCCAAGATCATCTTAGGCCGCCCAGCTTTGACTAAGAAATCGTGAACGTTTTTCAATTAACCTTTTGTTCTATTAACACAGGGCCCACTTGGTCTTCATTCTAACATTTCACCTTTGTCGTTGTATTCCATAAGTTTGACTCCCATTCGATGATTAAACTGATATAGTACCTTAATTGACTCGAAGTCTCTTAGAGCCAGGTGACTAATAACAAGTACAAAATGACAGAAAACTGTTATTGGCGAATTGTGAATGCACATCCGCAGAATGGTGCAGAACCATTCGAAATCGAAAACTTTGTAGCAAGGGTAAAGATGTTAAATTAGTGTAAATGTTTTGCAGTTTATGTAACACGTTTTCCTCTGTTTTTTTCATTTTGGTTTTTTTTTTTTGGTTTTTTGTTTTCACAGCCATCGAGAGTCTGTTACAGCACTGTGGCCAATTGACTCTTCTGGACGTTTGTGGCTGTAGTAGAATCACCAACGCCTCTCTTGAGCTGTTGGGTCAGCAGTGCACATCAGACGACCGACCAGTTCTCAACTGCACTGTTGGAGGTGAGGATTGAGGATTGTGGTAGCATTGTGGCTGTGAGTTTTTTTTTTTTTTTCTAGTGTGTTTGTTTGTTTGTTTGTTTTGACTGTTGGATTAAAAATTCAAATTCGGAAATAGTAGAGCTAGCCTCGAACCTGGAGGTATTCAAATTGATAAAGCTCAAATCATTGGTAGCAAACTTGAGCATTATGGTTTGCCAGACAGGTGTGTGGAATATATGATGTACAGCTGTGTTGAACTCTCAAGCTGCAATTGTGATGGACCCCAAGGAATCCGTCTTCAAGGCAAAGTGTTCAAAGCAGTAGAAAGTTTTCGTCTCCTCTTTCGACCAACTCTCTGCATTGCTGCATTCCAAGGGCGGGAGATGGATACTGAGCCACCAAAAAGTGAAATATCGCGCATTTTAATTGTTGTTAAGGTCAAAACCAAACTAATCGCATCGGCCAATCAGTTCAGAGAAAATCGTAACGCAGAGCCAATGAGAACTCAATGCAAAAACAAACAAACCAGCGGAAGCACTGAAACCTAAGCGACCGAGTCGGGATTGGTTTTTAAGCTTTGAATCTAATCGGTTGAAATTATGGGGAAAATTTTCTAGTTCAATAACAAAGTTAAGTCAACAAAGACCGATACAATTCCGTTGTACTTTCGGTTCTTAAAGGAGTATTCAATTCTTTGTCCCTTCACGCTGAAGACTCACTAAAGTTGTTAAATGAAACCTCTAGGTACAGCCATAGACGAAAAAGCAGTAACTCGATTTCGTGAGATATCTTGTGGATGCGCTTTGTTTTACAATGACTATTCCATCAGCACAAGGATTGATGCTGTCCCATCTCATGGTTCAGGTATGACTAGCTTTTAGTGTCAGCGTAATCATTTAGGTGAGCCAACGATCAGTATTACATCATCAAAAGTTTGGCCATCATCTTGTAATATTTTAGGATTAGGGGAAGGTTGGGGAGAAGAAAATGATTCTACCGAGGTGGGGAATTTAGGCAAGAGGGGAAAGAAGTGGAAAGAGACCTCCCTTTCTTTCTCTAGCGGCAAGCCAATATCTTTTTGGTCTGTTCTCAGGAGCTTTCTTACGCGAAGAAGACGATGAAGAGTTTGATGAATTTGACGATGAGTTCGATGATGATGATGAAGAAGAACATGAACATTTTCATAACATTGTTGACGATGAGGAGACTTGGATGGCCGAGGACTCGTTATGGTGGCGACCAGGTGATGCCGAAGATTTCCTGGAGGCTGATTATCCTTCGTTACTAGCAGAACAGCTGTACAGATCATAACATGTGCAAATGAAACTTAAACAGCTGTACAGAACAGAACAGCTGAACAGATCATAACATGTGCAAATGAAACTTAAACTTATCATCGAGTGATAAGGTCTACGAAGTCCTCGTTGATATCTGCGCATTAGACGCCTCTTCGGGAGAGATTGGTTTTCCGAGAAGAGAAAGGTTTTCTCGTCCAGTGAGATTGTTGTCTCTCTTCGGGATAGAGTGATTTCCCAAAATGTTAGGGCGTCTGCGCCGAAAACTGGGTCGAGTACACTTTGTCGAGGCTTAACTTCCCTCTCGTAACGGCGCGACTGTTTTTACAAAGCCTCGTCGCACAACCAAAATGCTGCGCTGTTGAGAACTTAATCGCGTTTGGACGTATCCGATGTGGACTAGTGAGTGGTCCTACTGTGTAACTCATTTTAGACGACTGAGGGGCTATTCATGTTCCATCGTAAGTCACCTACCGCACCGTGAACGATATATGCGCAGCAAAAAGGACGGTGGTGACAACTAAAAGCGACGTTACTCTATGAGTGACGCTCTTGAACAGATGTCTTACAGAAAAAAATGATCGCAAAACAATTTACTTAAAGTAGCTGCAACATATTCTGAATTAAAATCATTGAAACTGACGTAAAGGGCTGCAGGAAGAACAAACGCTGAAGGGGCTAAGCATTTGCAGAAAATGAACCGTTCCTAAGTTTTTCATCGGCCACTAATGCCATTTTTCTCAGGCTTCATCCTTAATCGTCCTTGAAGGGATAGTTAAGTATGAAAATAATTGGCATGAGTCACTGAGGACTACCTTGGAAAGTTAAGAGCAAGACCGTTGTGTTTCAAATATTTTGTTCCTGTAGTTCAAAGAAGACATCTCTCTAGAAAGTTCACCACTTATGCTACATAAAGTTATGAGTGAATTTTATCCCTTTAATGGGGGTTTTATTGAAAAAAAATTAAAAATAATAGCTGAAAACTTGCGTTACTCCAGACTGAGTTGAGTTATTTCATTATTATATTCTAAGAGTTGTAAAATCCTCTTCACATATTTTATCGTTTGTGAATCTATATGTATATTCTCCTATTTGATTTGTTAACGGACCCTTTCAAATATGTTGTCTCTCTCCTAGATGAGTCAGCTATAGTGTTTTCGTAATTCCATTACAAGGGGGCGCTTTTCTTTTGAAATCACGAAGAGAAAGTTGCTCACAGCAAGATATCATCAGGGATGCAATGCTAATAGTGGGGTAAAAGTACAACGTAAAGGCCAGAGTGTGGCCGGCAAATCGAAGAAAATCCACTTTTCTTTGACGCCCATTGGGAAACTGTTACACTGGTAAAGAACCATTTCCACTTACAAGATGAGTTAAGTACTTCTGATTGCTACTGTTGGAGCCAGTTGATGACTTCAGATTCTCTTTGGGCCGGTTGAAAACAGGACAGCGTATGAGCTGGAAACGTTTTTGGGCGACTTGTCTCGGGCCCACATAAGCCAAAGTACAAGCTGCGGCGAACTCCACTGCTCGATATAATGTTTGAAATATCAACCAAGGCCAAGGTTCTGGGGGCTTAGCTTTGTCCAAGTACATGTTGTTGACACCTATAATCGAGTACAGCTGTAGTGCACAGCTGGCAAATCCCAAGAAAACCGTGAGGTAAGTAATCTTGACGAGTTTTGACACGTTGGGCCGATAGACTGCTGCCTTTCCATCCGTGCCTGCGCGGAAGCTTGTTTCACCAAGACGGTTCACGTGGGCGTGGTTCCTTTGCACGTACTTGACAATCCTTCCACCACTGTATATGAAGCTAAAAGACAGGCAGAAGTAGAAAACGATATAAAATGATTGGCAAAAGATGCCAAGTGCCTTCCAGTCCGCAAAAAGGGAAACCATTGTCTCCGCGAAGATAGCGAGGCTGAAATGGAACACAATGACGCCAGTGAGGAATTTTCCACTCTGAAGTCTTTCTGGGTAAAGCTTGAGCTTTATCACTTGAAGGAACGCGAAGTGAACAAGTGAAAACGACGCCGTAATGCACGGCAGCGCGATTCCGAACAAAATCCGAGACACTATTGTCGGGCACGTCGGAAGTAAGTTGCATTGTTTAGTCTCGTATGGATTGATAAACAAAAATAAACCACGCACTGAGCCAAAGATGACCAAGAGACTTGTGATAACAAGCGACAGTTTCCCTCGTTTTGTTCGTCTATATGTAGCGATAACTTCAATCAAAGTAATCAAAGAGTATACAGCGAACAGAGTAAAAAGGGAACCAAAACCAATCCAGTGTAAGTCCCAGGCCCATTTCCAGGTTTGCAGAGCAGGGACCCAGTCTGGGATGGGCTCAGCAGCAGCCGGTGTTTCGCTAGATGGCATCTTGACGCCCCAAGGCTCATCAGCCATAGGTAATTTTTTTCAAACACTTGTCTGTAAGAAAGAGATATTACAGCAATGTTAGATAGACAATTTAACCCACCGGGACAATAATGAATTGACCTAGTTAAGATCAAAGGGACACGAATCTGGCTGCAAACTGAGTGGGAGAAGGTGTTGAGAAAATATTCCATAAAACATATTTTAAACTAATAGATATGAAGAGTTTCAAACGAAAATCAAACTGAACTTCCCACTGATCAACGCTAACCACTTTTAATGTCTTCCCCAACCCGACCCCACCCTCCCAAGTTATATAAATCCCGGTATCCGGGCTGCTTCCGCAAATGAGAAAATTTGATTGGCTGAATGGAGATCGTTCAGACTTTGGTGCTAAAATGAAACGCGGTTGCATCAATGTCTCTGTCCCAGTTCGTTTCGTTTAAACGACCTTTAACCAGTGGCTTTGTGCATGAAATATTAAGGTGGCTGAACACAGTTTTTGATTCCTTTGTTTCCTTCACTATTTTCTCTATAATCCTTACTCTCTCGGTCACCAAAATTGGCACCAAGCAAGTCTACAACACAAACTTTGGTTTTTCGATAGTTAAGCTGACGTATGTGCCGTTGCCATGGCGATATGAAGAGCTATAAATAGGCAATTAAAATTGGCTTTGTTTCTTTGAAGAAAATCTAGTCATTAGATTTTCTCTATAATTTGCATGCAACGAGCTTGTAACGATACTCACAAGTTAACACCATTTTGCTAACAATTTAACAGAGAGATCTTTGATTATCCCTTGTTGAAGGTTCACTCGATTTTCTAGAATTTCCTTTGTTTAAAATCATATTTTTTCTATACTCCAGTCACTTATTTCCTAAAGTATTTATGTGCCAAATTTCGTGAAATTCTAATGAGTGGTTCTCAAGGAATAGGCATTTATCCGAGAAAGCAATTTTTCATTCAATCGCAATTTTTTTACTTACTATGCATGCGCTGCATTTAACTGGTGTTTTTTTCGGTAACGACGAAAAAGCTGAGAATTGCTGGGTTCTTTGCACCGTTGACTTTTCCAACATATCTTTGTAATAAAAGATTACAGCCCTCTATACACTGCGCCAACTATAGAGAAAAATAGCACAGATAGTGCGGGAACGTGTTGGGAAAATGAAATGACCGTGCTGTTGACGGCATGTTTGTTTTTTTGCAATCCTTGTACGCGCGCTGAATTGCATCAGCAAAAGTGCACGCGAAAACTGTGTTCAGCCATCTTCAGCAGTTGAAAATTAGGAGTATGTATTTGAGAGAAGTTATCCCCAAGGGTAAAGAGATGCGTTAAGGTAAGAACGTTGAAACTGTCTCAACTTTCTAAATATTAATTTTAACACGGAAAGCACCATGCGAAATGTTCTAGGTAACGCCAATGTGATTATATTTGTTTGAGGGCTGCACTTAATCTGTTATTTATTCTGTTTCTCTCAACAATGAGCGTGATATTAAACATGTAGGGATTTACTTATATCATAAACAGATATGATTTTTCTTAGTTTACAGCAATACTCGAGGCAGTATGAAGCACAGTTTGAAGTGTGTCGCAGAATAAACCTAGTTAGGAAATCTCCGAGGGCTGACTGCAAACCAAGTTTTTTCTAGAAAAAACTTGTACCAATTAAAACAATGCTTCAGTAAGTTCGCTTTTCCTGTTTCTTTTAAGTACTTATGTAACGTCTTATATTAGTAGGAGGACAAAGTAAATACGTAAAGATCGTCTTCGAAATTTTTAGAAGTAAGTGCAAGGCTGAAAACGAAATCTGTCCTCAATGATTCACTATCTTTCTTCAAATTACACATCTTGTAATTCACGAGGATATATGAATAGTAATTCTTGACTTCCTCGGCTTTTCAATAAAGAAAATATGAATTATTGTTTTCATGAATGAAAAATTTCGAGATCGTTCGACGTCTGATTCGGTAACTGAAATGACGAAAGAATTTAAATAATACGTAGTGAAGATGTATTTTACGAAAATCACTTTTGTCTCACTCTTCGTCAGCTGTTTCTAGCAGACGATAAAATTCCAGCTTCACCCTTACACATAAACCTTTGTGGAGTCACAAATTGGAATTTGGGACAGAAACAGCTCTCGATTAAACTTGTTTACTCATTGATATGCACTACAATTTACATAGTTTCTTTCTCAGTCTAAATAGTCACCCATGTACTCAAAGTCGGACAAAATAGTTCCGTCTCTTCAATAAATTTATACACCTAATAATTTTTCTCATTTGACACATCTTTTTCACCTGTGGACTGATTTTTGTGTTCAGTTGTGACTATAATCTGTCAGAAAAGACTGTCGTTAGGTTATTGGTCTAGATGTACTGCTATAATTAAAAGTGATAATAATCGATGAATTTAAAGTTTCTTACCGATTGAGAAATGGCTCATACATGCAGTGTATTGTTGGTTATCTCTTAGATATATTATGGGGACTTGTTACCTTGTTCTGTCGGCGTTTGGCTGGCTTAACGATCTAAAGATCTTGTTGCAAATTTTTGTGAATGAAATAATCATTGGCACGGGACATTGTTCTGACAATAAATCATGTTTTAAAAACGAGGTAACTAAAGGAGATCTCACAAAAATTCTCATCCTTTTCATTGTTTTTTTCAACTTGAATTCCTCAATATTTTATGAAACGAACTGAATTAGATTTACTATCACTTGTCTTTCTAATGCAACACCAAATATTCTTTTTAACCCGTTGAATCACTTCAATCAATCGTTTTCTTGCTGATATAGACTCCCTCAATTCTTGGAGTACAGGAATAAATTCTCAAAATAAATTTTGCACCGCAAATTAAAACTTTCCAAATGCTCCTCGGACGAATTAGGAAGGCACCTTTCAAGCAAGGCCTCTCCAAAAATAACAGCTGGACCGAACATTTTGCATCTGTTTGTTAATCAAATTTTGTTTTCAAATTGATTTATCCTTAAGTATTTTTCTTAAGGATAAATCAATTTGAAAACAAAATTTGATTAACAAACAGATGCAAAATGTTCGGTCCAGCTGTTATTTTTGGAGAGGCCTTGCTTGAAAGGTGCCTTCCTAATTCGTACTTCCTAATTCGGTATTTTCTATTTTTTCGCAGGAACTTTGCCTGTTTATAACAGTAGCTCGTCGGAATTTCACGTTTTCTTCAGTTGGCGGGAAAACTAAAGCCATCTACAATACGTCTTTAAAAGTATGCAATTCTAATCAATACATTATCCAATTCATCCCTACCTCAAATCGCCTTCAGAGCGTTTATCCAGAATGTGATTATAGCATTGGTAAATTGAATTGGCTCTTTGTAAAACTTCAAGTGCTTCAGTATATATATATATATATATCTTGAACAGAAGGGTTTGAAATAGACAAGAATTCTTTGGCCTAATGTGATGACGCGTGTGTGGGTGGAGTGCGAAGGCGAGTTGTCATGGTTTGTTGCATAACCTCCCTGAGACTGTCAAATCAAAACAGGAAATGTCTCTCAAAATACTTGACCGGCCACTTATGACGTTTGGGCCGCGCGGAGTAAGGAATGACTAAGGCGCGAATGTTTTTCGGTGAAGACTAAATGTATCGCAGTTTGGACAGTCTTTGGTTTGATATTTGGAAGGTTTGCATAGAATCGATGTCTCTAATACACCAGGAATTGCTAAACTGTGATAGAGACGTATGAATATACATGAGTACAAGCCTGACTCCAAGTTTACGTAGGTGTTTGCATGCTTCGCTGATCGTTTCCAATGCATTGAATCACCTCAGGGATCAACGTCATTTGAGCTGTACAGGCATAAAATTGACAATGTAAAGCCGAAATTTGGTACTCTCCAGACGCATTAAAGTTGTCTTCGTAAGATAAGGGTGGAGAGAGCCGGCAAATCGAGTGAAAGAACAATGGCGGATTGGTGGCGTAAGAGATCATTCAGTTACACTAAAGGGTTTTTAACCTCGATGCTTAAAAATGGAGGTAACAAAAAAAACAAAGATGAGCAGAAAATTATCTATGATCAGAGCCGGGGGTTTGCTTGTCCATGAGACAAAAGATATTCCAAACCAATCACTGTTTGATGAGCGTGTTTTGCCAATCAAAAGTGTTACCAGCCCCATATCTATTGATTTCTGGAGGAGCAAGATTTGAATTATGATTTCAACATAATAGCGGTATTCTTCTTGACTGTCACAATATTTTGTTAACCATTTGCATTAATGGAGGCCAAACCGAATATCCGAAAGTCTGTATCAATGTGAACTCTGTTGGTCTCACTAAAGCCGTCCTGTATTCTATCGTTCGTAAGGCTTGTGACCGGGGGTGCTACTAAATCTAGCCTAGATGAATTAAAGTTTTGCCCGAGTAATTTTAACGACGTCAGTTGTTATCAGAGTGTTATAATAGTGCGTCAAAGACGGCAACACCTATGTCCTCAGGGCCTTTCAGAAACTTTACAATTGATATTTCCCTTAAAGTTATACAATACTATACAAGTCATGCCTTTCCCGTTACAATGAATTAGTGAAGGAAATATTGCAGTTTCGTAGTCGATACAAAAACACAAACTTCGAGTTAACTATCATTTTTCTCTGATTGACTCTAATTGATCTATTTTGTACAAACTAACGTTTTTCAAAACTTGTTTTCTCCTTTCTCCTTTTTCTTTTAATTTCTATGGCCATTTTTTTTTTCGGTTACAGAGTTAGAAGCCATTTTGGTTTTTGTCGCATGTATTGCACTAATTTGCTGTGAGGTCTAAAGAATTTAAGTGGCTGTATGAGAAGGTTGAATACAAATTTGATTGATTGATTCCATTTCTACGATATTATTTTGGAACTGTCCATAATACTGTTCATGAAAACAACCATCAACGCAGAAGTTTCAATAAAAGCCCGTCTCCGGCGGTCTACCTCCGCCTATAGGACTTCTTGCCGCCGTCTTTTTGGCAAGGGAACAGGCTCTCGTGCTTGAGTTTCACGTTGGCTTTTGCACGAATGTGCTACGATCCGGCAATGTGGTCTTGAAAGGAGAGTCTCTCCGTTAGCGATTGATTTTCGAAATTCCTGCGTTTATCCGCAAACGAATTACTTGTATTCTGCCCAGTCAGGAATGACTGGCAAATTTCAGGGGTGTCATAAAAAGTGTTTGTAGATAGCACTCTTTTTGATGCTGTAAATTATTTTTCCGACTTTCAAGATTTCAAAATTTTAAACTGTAAGAGATACCCTCAGCCTCCCTTGACGTAAGGGCCTCTTTGGCTCCTTTTCCGGGCACAGCTGCACATGGAAAAATTTATTAAGACCCCTGCTTAGACTGATTAAAGTCCACGTTGAACGCAGTCATCTAGTCCACACGTGAGGCTTTTCGGCTATCGTTACGTAATTCCTGTGTTTTGTTGTGACGTTTGCGATATTTGGTTTTTTTTTTGTTTGCACCGTTTATTCATGTAGTGCGGGCATGATTTTTCTGAGATGGTGATGAGTTTTAACGGCTTTTTTTGTATAAATTAGGAGAAGTAAATTCGTTATTTCATGTCAGTGGTGTCCTTTAGTTCATTCCTAGTCATAACGCACAGTCCTTCCTTTTTAAGTCGAACCCCAGGATACAGACGCTTTTGTTATTCCTATAGTTTCTACTTCATAGTTTCAAAAGTCTTCATTGTCTATGTCAGACCAGCACAGAGTGCTAACTCTTCGGACAAGTTCGCGAGTATAACTCGTTGCTTCATGCTGTTGACTTAATATCAAACTAAACCGTAGGAAACCGTTTATCCGATTCGCTGAAAAAGTTGAGCAGATTTTAGAAAATTTCAGTCGTTCTTGTTTATGTTCAAGTCTTCTGCAGTTATCGGACTTTTTGCCTCATTTAAAGGCGTTTAAACATACAGTAGGTACAAATCAAGTTTGGTCGGAAATAGGAAAGAGAGCTTACCTAAGTCACGTTGATCTGTGCCGGATTCTTTTGAGGATCTTTTCAGCAAATTGTATCTCGATTATATCCACCCTGCTACGTTAATTATTCGTAAAACTTAAAATCTAAACCTTTGATTTGAAGTAAGACTTCCTTGAGGTATGTGTCAGTTTGACTTCCCTGTCACTCTTTTCATCACGAACTCCTAAATCAATTATCTATGCAAAACCACTACATTCTTTGTTCGACTCGTTGCTGCATCACTGCTTTCAACCAATTCGGTAAATTCCTTTTTCGGCGCTTGAGGTATGTCTTTATTGACAGTCTCTAGCTTCGTGACTACTGCTAATTGTTCCCTTTTCAATCTAGGATAAAATCTATGAATGAATCAATAATGTTTAACAACTCTAAATGAGTTTGTCAATGGACTTACCCCACCGTCTCAATGAAAAGAAATTCTTTTTTTGTGTGTCCTCTTATATTGGTTTCACACTTATTTACACACGTCACGCACCTTAAATAGACCAACGAGTCAAATGCTTATTTTTATTTCTTAATTTCTGATCTTAGATTAGTAACAAATACATGACAGAGAAAAGTTCACAAATCAGTGTTTTTCTTGTGTCTTAAAATTGCAGAACAGAATAATGTGTTTCTATAACACGAAGGATGTGGAAAGGAGTTCGAGTTATATTGTGTTCAATTCTATGCCATTGTATTGGGAGACTCGTACGTAATGTAGAGCGAATGTATGACTTGTGAATGGAAGGGTAATTAATGACAAAGATGTGTCTGTGTTCACGAGAGACGCGCCGCATTATTCTAACTCGATCATTGTCATCAGTTATTTATTACTCTTCGTTCGTGATGTGGAGTATAAAACGCTCAACAGTGAAAGATTAGCAATCAGTTTGTTTGTTTTTGGAATGTCACACTGCGTATTGCTTTAGGGTTACATTTTTCAGAGTCCTTAAAGATAAACAATACTGTTGATACCGACAAAAACGAGAGAGCTATAGCTGTATCAAAAATTTATTTTGCGAACAAATTTCATGTACAATGGAGTCGATAACTTTGCTTTTGTGTACAAAAGACGACAGTCTCGGCCTTTTTAAAAGCGGATGTCTCACGACAACCATTCAGATACATACAATCGTACAAAGGATGGTTCTCACGAGACCTTACCTACGCTATATTGTTTGTGAGGAACGATGAAAGAACGCCGGATCATATTGGTGGTTTGATCATCTGTCACGAACATAAAACTTGTTTGAGATAAATGTATTGCAAAGAGAATGAAATTTTTTTGAATCTACTTGTCTAGTAAATTAAGCAGCCTTTTAATATGATCACGCAAACAGGTCTTTTGTCTTCTTTGTTGAAGTTTCTAAAGGTCCTCATTTTCTTTTGGCATTTATTAATATTCTTGCGGTAACTACGTTTTTCTACAAAGTATTCGTTTTACTCAGTGTGGCTTACGTTTTCTGATATCGAGGTATCTCTCATATGGTACCTTTAACTGCATGAACTTTAGCAAAAGACAATAAAAAGTAGACTGTACGATTCGCTTGAACTACGACTTTGCTTAGAGAGGGTACAATACTCATACAAAAGTGAGAATATTTAGAGGTTGCTAAAAACGCACGACGATCCAAGCCCACCAACTGCAACTGTGAGGTAATTGGGAACTATAGGATAACAACCACGGAAACTTTAAGAACCACAGGAACGGCAAACTGAACTACACAAACCACGGGAGGTCCGATCAGGAGCCGGTGAAATTGAGGTACACCATGAACTAAAGGGCAACACGGCTTAGGCGAGAAAGTTAATGTTCAGGGACAAGCTTTAATTAATAAGATTTAATAATGATTAACTTAACGTAGCGATTTAATGGCGCTGCAAACGAACCTAACTTTATCTCCATTTCTTCTAAACTTCCTCTTCTTCCAGTCCCTTTCCTTTCTATTGTCATTCTGATATTTTTCTGCTCTTCATTTTATGTTCAAGGCAAAGTTGCCATTTGCTCTAGTTTCGGCAGCACAGAGAATTTTACTGACTAGTTAACTCAGTGAATACATTTTGAGACAAACTGCTGGAGAATAGCCGTCATTCGAGCAGGAAACCTTCATATTTTGATAGTATGAAAACAAGTAATTCTGCGCCAGATAAACTTTTCTGCATCGCCTTTGTATTCTCATGCATTCACTAAAGTTGGTGACTTGAAAGGAGCAAATAGCTTATGACTTATATGAACTTATATTTCTCCGTTCCTTTTTTCAACAACAGTAGCATCAACCGCTTATTTAGTCTTGGTAGATAGCCTCAACGGAAGATTACTTGTGACTGTATTCAAGGCTAGGTTAGCGGCGTTCAATGCATTGGTTGCAGAATCAGGCAACTGGATTCGCATTCGCTTCTGCCTCTCTTCAATAATAGCACTGACCGAGCAAAGGACACTCGAAACAACGCACAGTCCCAGGGTAATCAACACAATCGTAAAATTAACAGCAAACGTCTTAGCATGGTTTGTAGATTTGAGCTCACCGTCATTGACAACATAATCCCCAAACCCGATGGTAGACACACTGATAAATGTGAAATAACATCCTTCGATGAAAGTCCAGCCATCGGTATGTGACGTCAGAATGGCGCCAAAAATGATCATCAGTACCATGAGCAGGAAAGTGACAAGGAAGCTTTTCAATTCTGCACGCCCTGATTTCACGCTACTGAGGCAAGTTCTCTCCAGAAAGCGGATGAAGACCCGGATGGCCAAGCTTACGTGGTTTCCAACGCTGAGTAACATGATGCCAGCGACTGGAATGGCTATGAGGCTGTAGAAGATACAGAATAACTGACCCTGCCATGTTTGTGGGGACATGTGACCGTAGCCTGAAAGAAAGAACGATAAAACTATTGTCATCGTTTTCGATAGGGACTATTACCAACAGGCAAAAGAAGAACGATGATTAATGAGCTCCGAAGTTTGACAGTATTATTCAGCCCGTTATACGGGTAGCATTTTAAACACCTCTCTGTTGACAAAAGATACTTGTATTTTTATTCATATCATTTGAAATGTGAAACTAAACACTGAGATAAATCTAGATCAATTAAGTCTTATAGATAATCTTTATCGATTGCAACGCTTAAACAATCGCTTTCAATGAATTGTAACTTATCTGGTAGTCTTACATGTAGAGTCATTTTCTAACCCTGACAATATGCACTCACCAATCGTTGTCATAATTGTAAATGCAAAGAACACTGAGTTGCTGTAAGTCCAGCGACTTGGCCCTTCTCTGTCTTCCTTCTCGGCCACCTCCTGCCCGATGGCAGTCTCTAGTCGTTTCAAATCTGTTTCACTTATATTGTATTTTTCTGCTAAGCTCTCCTTTAGTTTCGTCGCTTCGGATTTTTCCGAAGTTTGGTCCCCTTTTGTTCGCTCTAATTCCATGAAAACTGCGGCTCCAACCAGCAAGACGAGAATACAGATGACTATTTTGATCAACAGCGATTTTGGCTCAAATTTTATGGCATTGTCGGTCTCACTCATTTCTGTGTTGCGGCCAAAGGCGCTAAGAGAAAATTGAGTAGTTTTGTGGAGTCTCCCGTTCAACACTGCAGCTGTCTCAAACTCGCCGATAATTTGTGTATAACTGGTAGATTAATGAATAATGCCAAATTATTACTTGGCGTAATCCCTACTCAAGTCAACTAGTACCTGTTTATTGACAAATAATTCCGTCAGTTAATCAACTATGTCATTGGAGCATATTTGATCAGTTTTAAAAATGAAGCATTCTTTGAATTTCCTCTGAGAGTCTCAAAAGTTGAAGCTGAGTCGACCCGAGGGTTCGTTAAAACTTTCGCAGCTTCTGCGCCGTCATAAAACATTCCCGACTCTGCAAACCGCACAGTCTGCATAATTACTTTGGAATTTTGATTTGCATTACAACGGACACCTGCGGTTTTCCCCCAAGAACAACTTCAGAATTGATTGCTTAATCACTGGCTTATCTGCTCTGCAATGAACCTGTTAATATTCCTCTAATCACAAGATTTTTCTGTCTTTCCGACACACACTTTCAAAGATACACACAAAAAAAAGGAACCGAGCTCTACCAAACACTGAAAAAGCCAAAACTGTGTAGCTGTTCCTGAGATATGGTTATCATCTAAACGATCCAAAAAAAAAAAAAAATCGAAGAAAGAAAATTCTGTACTTCATAATTAATCATGCCACCGACTGCGGTGTTCATAGCTTGTATCCCATAATGAGCTTTGTGGAAATAGTGAACTACACCTCGGCAACGCAATCCGGCAGGACGGCAAAGCCAAGGAAAATATCGATTGAAAAATGAGTTTCTACTTTTAATTAGAGTTTCGAAAGTGGCTGCATGTGTTTACCGTCTCATACGGCGCCACGCCTCAACTTCAGCATAACGTGTCAACGTAGTCCCAAAATGGAAATTAAAATAATTTGCCGTCGCGGTTTCCGTTCGCAGACGACGAAAATTTTCGTGATTTCAAGTTGTTGTTTTGCAAAGGTCGGCTAAGAAATATGCGAAGTTTTAAAACGCACGTGCTGAGCTATTGTTCTGCCAATTAGAGCTTTTTTTTATGTACAGTAAAAACGCTAGGCTTACAGCGTAAACTCGCCTTCAATCCATGAAATCACCTGGAAAAGATTTGGGACTGGGGGGTCGAGGGTGGGGACTTTGGAAAATTATGTGTACCCTTGGAAAAATCCTAGGTAAGCCCCTGGGACTGGATGTAAAGACTTTCCATACGTTTAGAGATGATTATCTTTTGGCATTGTGTCCACTTCAGTTATTGCACTCTGGATTTTAGTCGAAACACCAGTACCATCATTAAAACGCGAACGTAGCGTGTCATGTCGCAGGTACAGTTTTTATCCCGTAAAGGTTCATCAATTTCAAGATCGAAAAGTCTCAACATTTTAAAGCACAGAAGTTGTGGCTGTTTAATGCTCATATGCTTAGTGAAAATAATGCATAGTCAATTTATGCCAGATGCTGTCTCGTTCTTAGCTATTGCGGTTAGATTGGTGTACGGGCTAATTTTTGAATCTCTCTCAAAAGACGAAAGCGATATGGTAGAAAATTCATGCGAACAAAAGAAGGAAAGGGAAAGGCAAGGCAAACAGTGAAGAGAGAAAGGGAAGAACCAAGGATAAAGAGAAGGAAACGAAATTAAACTCACATTTTTGAACTTTGAAAACTTTCCTCAGTGGATCTCATCAGTGCCCTTCCCTCGTGGGAATTCTGAGCCCGCACATATAGAGACCATTAGGTGGTTCGTCATGTAGCCCATCATGTACGAAAACACACTGGTGATGCAACATGGCTGCCGATGAGGATGGAGATGGAATGTACGTGAAGACATTTCTAGTTTAAAATATGTTTATCTGTTTAATAACTGCCTTTACCTTATATATGGTTTATATTAGCCTAAAGTCTGTTCCATAAATTTACAGCTATTCTCTTGAAGAAGAGATTGAATTATTATCAGCTATTTACATTCACGAGTTAACAGTGGAAAGAGAAAAGGAGAGGTAAGCAGCAGATGAATTATAGATAGTTACGGAAGCAGAAGGTAGTTTTCGCTACTTGTGTCTGTGCATAGGGTTAGAGAGTACTATAAACTCAACATAACTGTACGATACGCGTAGTATCACAGTTCTGAAGGGGGCATGGCACACCTGCATTCTTCTTATTTACTAGATACTGGTAATAGCGCGCACTGAGCATGGTTGTATCTTTGTGTGTTATTATTTTTCCAAACAAGTCTACCAAGCCTGCCTCGTAATACTTAACATCAAATGTAACGGTCAGTGATTTTCCTTTTAACTTTTTCCTTATTAGTTTGCTCATACTGTAGCTGTAGGCGCAATAGAAGTAATAAATATTATATTATCCTGTTGTCCATTAGTTTTTCTTCTCAAGCACTCTTACTCATGAATACTATCATGATGTGGAGCGTAAAGCGAAGACTGGTTTCTCTACCCTAAAAGCCAAGAATTGTCCAAAATACTATTTCAGTTGGTTGTCCCTGTTTCAGACCCACAGCTGTTAGTGTTTTGCTTCATCCAAGCACAGGAGATGAAGAGGACAAGCGTTTTGTATGTCTAACATTACTTATTCACCTTCCCAAAAAGGTATGTAACTTTATAGTGTAGAATATCACTTACTGACTCAGTCAAGTTTTATCTTGCAGATTTTTACAGGAGGGTTATGGTATACCCTCCCATTTTCTTTTTTTTTTCTTTTTTTTTTACCCAAATCTTTGTATTTTCCATAGTTTGAAACTGTGGTAAAGTTTTCCGTTCCACCTTACAAACCTCAAAATTTCCCTTTATTTATTCTTGCTTATTTTACCTCTTATACAAACATATTTTATCTCTTATTTTACCTCGTATACATTCTTTGCTGTAATTGTTGTATCCAAAAGTCAATTTTATGTCAACCTTGCTGTGACATTTCTTTTCATGTTTTGCAGTATCTATGTGAATTACCTTCCATTCACATCAAGACACCTAGAGGATTATCTGAAGCCCATGTTGATAGGTAGCAAAATTTAATTGTTGTTTAGCTCTTAAACTTTATAAGAAATGTAGGGCATGCTGACAATCAATGATCATTAGTTCAAGTTCCTTTGAGGCATGATACAAGAGCATTTGATGACCAATTCCTTTTGATAATCAAAGAAGCCCTTTTTTCATTTTTGGAACCCTAAATACACAAATGTATGAATATTTTTGTGAATTGAGAGTACATGTTAATTTTATGCCAATTTCTGGAAGCGTGGATGGAAAACAGGTTAAATTCATATACTTGAACAAGTGTTTGTCCAAGTCTTTAACTTGGAAGGTAGCATAGTAGGTAAGTGAATTCCACACTTCTTACTTTAAAATTGAATGACTCTAATGTGTTACTTTGTGCATTTTGTAGCATTTTGGCCAACCTTAGGGAACTTGCAGAGGGTTGTCTTGGAAGACCTATGTTGTATGAACTTATTGAGGTAAATTCAACTGAAATGGTCATTTGGCTTAGGTTTTAGTGAAGTGGTTGATACAAAGTACAAATTACTTTGGTCATCACCATGAAGTAGAGAGAAGTAACAGTTTTCTGTGCATGAACTCTTTTGTAGTATGCTAAGGACAGTTTAACGGACAATAACATGCCTAGCTGTGCTTGTGCCATTTGTCTCTGCCATTTTCAGGTGAGTTTAGGGGAATATATTTGTAAAACTGAAACCTTAATTAACAGTTGTCCATAAATCTTTGGTTCCAATTGTGATGTCAAAGGTTATTCATAAATCATTTATTAGAGGAAGGAAGTAAAGCTACTTCCCCAACCCCAGCTTGGAAATATGTAAAAAAGAATTCCCTAAGTCCTGGTCACCAAATAGAACAATTTAAGTGTTCTCTAGATAAGACAATCTACTTTAGCACTCAAAAATGCCATTTTTTTGTTTGTTGCATTAAAATGGTTGAAATAACATAAAAAGCCCCATCCAATTTTGCTCTGCTAACAATGTTTACATTCATCCAATATCACGTTGGACAACTTTATTTAATCACTAAGCTGAAACTCAAGCAGAATTTCAGCAGATGCAAGAGTATGGAGTGTGTGTGTAAAATCTCTGTTATTTTCCATCTGTCTGTTTTGGTCAGTGTTGAAGACTCTCCTGGTCTTTGTCACTTTTAAGGTAGCTTTCATACTGAAGTTTGATCACAGTGACAACACTTTTAACATTTTTATTTTCCTTCCTCAATGTATACAGGATACACATGAATTTACAAAGACAGAGTGTTACCATTACTTTCACAGTGGCTGTTTAGCAAGATACATCAAATTTTCTCTCCAACTAGAAAAGGAAACTGAAGATGACACAAAGGTGAGTTTATCAAATTATTATATTTTTAAATACAGTTGAACCTCCCGTAAGCCAGCACCCAAAATGTCAAGTCCAGGTGGTTGCTTATAGGTGGTGTTCACTTACTGGAGCTCAGGCCATGGAGGGTCCATTTTTTTGGGCAATTTGCATACAATGAGCAGACCCGTTAGCTTGTGCTTGAAGCAACTTAAAGTAATAACTTGTAGCAACTTACGGAAGGAAAATTTATTTATTTAATCACTTTCACCAGAGTGTGGTGAGGGTCGCACAACAGAGCGAGGCTCCAAATTAAGTGCGCCCTATATCCCACCCATCCCACCCCAGGGGAGGACATCCATCACACAGTAATCTCGTGTGTGGGAAATTAACGTCTCCTACCCCAACCCTGCAGGAGACGGGACCTCCATTTATTCGTCCCTATCCGAGAAGACTAGAATATCTAACCATTTCTTGATGTTATAGAAAGGTAGCAAATAATCTAAGTATTCAAGGTGATTGTTGTGTATCTCACAAATTATTTAATACAGCATTTGGGATAATTCATGTGAAAGAAACTTAGCTCATTTGTTACTCCAAGTGGTGCTGTCCAAAGTTTTCCAATGACTTAACACAAGCAAAAACTTAACAACTCTCCAGTTACGTATGTGGCCACAAGTACTCAAAGTACTAGCGGGCCTTATAGGTGACAAAATATCCCACAAGTGTGTGTCAATAATATTTTAATTAAGAGTACACTGCAGCAGAACAGGTCAATGTTCTGTATCCTCTTAGAGACCATGTTTGCAAAGACAAATAAATATCTGAGTGTGTTATCAGCCTTAGCCTTTTGCCTCAGTAGATAACTCAGACCTTGGTATTGATAATTCATGATATCAGGCTCATCCTCTTCCAATTATTGCTCATTGTTACACTAGTCAGGTAAACAACAAATTGGTAAATGTATTGTCAAATATGTAGGTAGAATGTCCTATGTGCCGCATGGAGATTGCTTTCAACCTTGATGAACTGGAGGCTTTTGCTTCTGATAACGTGGATGAGGAGGTTTGTTGACAGTAACCAATTACTCTGTCATATCATTGGTCATCAAACTGTAGATTGTATTTTGTCCAACTTTTTATCTCCAAATTCATGTATCCTTATTTAATGTAGCAATTCCATTTGATTTTCATAATTCAGTTATAGAACTGTAAACACCTTTGTCGTTCTGAGTGATTCAGTGATAAGATTAGATCCCTTTGACCAATTCTATCTTTCTTTTCATGTTTCACATGCTAAGGTAGTTTTTTGAAAGTGTACAGCAATCGTCCGGACGATCGCTCTACGCTTTCTCTTATTTACCCCCAGGTTCAAACCATTTTCTGCAGAAGGTAGTTTTGTTGTGCCTTTTTTAAACTGATTCCCCCTCAGTCAAGAGATAACTGGAATGACAAATCTCCAAACACTTTCCTCCCCGATAACATAACCAGTGAAAAGATAGATGATACGAAGCTTTCTTAAAGTTTATTTTTTTTTTAGTTTGTTTACAAACCCAGTGAAGAAATTAAGAAACTCCAGAAAGAAATGACCTCCCTTTATGAAAAACAGAAGAGAAAAGGAGGAGTGATTGACTTGGATAAAGAAAGAAACAGATATTTGATCGATATAACGTCGGTATGTATTGCAATTGCCACAGTGGACAAGTGGACTCAGTTCGCACCACTCTTTTCCCCCATCGGTTTTAGCCGTCATTATTATCGTAGAGCAGTTTTCAGATGAGTGTTGAAAACCCCCAACCCAGTAATCACAACGACTAATCCGAACGAAACCAAAACAATCCAGGATCGCTTTCGATGCTTAACTGAAAACTGTTCTAATTGTTGTCATTGTCATAACTATCGCCTTTTTCATCAGCATTGACATCATCAACCTTATTTACTAAGGCTTCAAAGATTACGTCGGCATGAAAAGTATTTGAACGATTTTTGTCTTGTGCTGAATGTGTTATGTCTCTTTCTGATAAGATGATTTCTGATCTGCGGCTTAAATGAAGACTAATCAATGACCCTAAATTGGTCGAGCGTGGTGGTTGCCTTTGAGGTAACACGGTTATTTAGCAATACTGCTTGCTAATTTTTCTTTTAGAGTATCGAGATCTTTACGGGAAGATTTCTTGAAATGTCTCCTTTTCCAAGAACCTTGTTATTCATGCTTATCATTGCTCTTGGTCGGCAGGTTCGTCAGGAGGAGGCAGTACATGAAAACGAGCCTTGTGCAGGGCCCGAGACCGCAGACAAAGTAAATACCTCCTCAGCGGAATTCACTCAAACCAATTCTCCCGAGCGGGGAGGCGTAGCTAGAGAAACCAGCCAATTAGATAACGTTATCTGTAAAGACAGATCAGAAGATAAAAAAGAGTTCTTGAAGCACTCAGGACCCACTCGGACTCGTCAGCGCTCCGACCGAAAAACTAGAAATCGATTGGGCGAAGGTAAATCTGACTATTACGACAGAAAAAGAAACGAGAAAAAACGCCAATCAACTAATAATAGACCTAACACTGCCGGACAGAGGCTAAACAAAAAAGAATCTGTAAAACCATCTGAAAATCTAGAGGGGGATTTCGCTCTTTGGAGCGAAGATAAATCAGAGAGTTCTCAAACCCGACTCGAAACGGAGATAAACCCCCCAGTAGACAATCTGGAGAGTGCTGTAACGGACGTCAGTGACAAGAGCAGAAATATTGGCTCCTCACAGAATTTCCGTGGAGAAAATTCAAGGTCTGTCAGGCGAGGAAAAGGAAAGGTTAATAGAGGCAGGTCTTCCACTGCCAGTACCCACGGAACTACGGAGGGTGGAAGGGTTGCGGATACAGATAGGACCTCTTGTGGAGAAGAGGTTGGGAAACTATCTGAAGACGCTGCACCATCGGAAAGCAGCAAGGCTATACCCGAGAAAAAAAGCCTTCACAAGCCAGTCAAGGAAAATCCAAGCCACAAACGAAAACGGACAAACAACAAAGACAAAGTTTGCAAACCACCCCCAGGTTTTGAGAATTTGAAGACCGATGAAGGAGAATGCGTGCGATCCACAAACATTTCTGAACCCCCTCCGGGGTTTGAACACCTTTCCACTGCACCTCTCCCAGGGGGCTTGGATACCCAGTAGAAGTGACAGGGCAGACAACAAGTCAGTTAATTACAAGCTGACCAATAGCAGCTCGAAAAATCCATGAGAATTATTCTTGTTTATTTCCTTTCTAGTTAATACTCGATTGGGTTTTAATATTAAGGAGGAGGAGTATTGGGTTTTTCGGTTTCTGTGCCGAAAAACTTCGGTTTTTCGGTTTTGGTGTTCATTGCGTTTTGAGGATTTTCCGTTATTTAGCATTTAGTTTTTGGTTTTCGTTAAAAATACTAACGGGTTTTCAGAGTTGGTATCCGATGTGGTTTTCGGGTTTGGGTTCCGGTTTCTCTTCCATGCTCCACTTGTCACTACTGTACGGTTTTGCATGGGGTTTTCGGTTTCGATCGAATTTTTTAGCGGTTTTGCGCTCTTGAATAATATTTTCTATGGTTTTGCGGTTTGTAGTTGACGATAATGCTCCCCTCATTAAGACCACTGCAGTTAATTGTGTAGATGACTGCCTCGCTTCTAAGAATTGTGAAGAAGACTTTTTGTCCAAAAGTGGCTTCTTTTGGTCAGTTTGGAAATAGATGTCCACTTTATGAAGGGACAAGGGGAAAGTTACTTCCATGTGTTAGTGTTTTTTTTTTTTCTTTTGTGATATCACCGGTAGGGTTGGTAAAGTTTCAGGATATAGCGTCCTGTGCTTGCGGACGCTATGAATAGAAGTAAACTTAGTATACTACGGCGAAAGTAGCAGTGATAATTGCCTTTTTTTTTAGACTTTTTTTGTTTTCTTTGTTCTTGTTTTTTGTTTTTTTCTTCAGCGGAAATAACAGTTTTCACAGTTTTTAATAAATAGAAACTAGTGAATGTTCTTTCTTGTTAGGCTTCTTCCCACACCACCCTTCAGTGATCACACTTTTGTCTTCATTATGCAAGTGCAAAAGACGTCTTTATTTAAGATGGCAAAAGCTTTTTGTTGAGTTATTTTCTCTTTACTTTAACATAAGTAGGAAACAAAACTTTAAAATATTTAGGAAAAACTCTAGTTGCGTGATTATCTTCCGCTGAAACTATGGATGTCTGCGTCTGAGTGTTCTTCGACAGAATTTGGTAACTATACATCAGGCTTCATGGTTTACGTACGTGTAAACTACTCCATTTGTGTAACTAAGCTTCTTTGAAAATGGGGCCATATAAAAAATGTTCACTGCGAACACAATCAGTGTCCAAAGAGTGCAGAGAGCAACATTAGTGAGAAGAGGCCAGCGTTTATATCGATGATGATGCTGGTAGAACGTATTACTGGGCAAGAGGGCGGTAGAAAACTGTTCTTCACGGTCCTTTTGTTGAGCGGCTGGACTGGACGATAGTTGTTAACCAGTTGCTTGCCCGATGCGTTTGTGAGGTTGCGTAAACTTTTCATCTGTAATGAAGAACCTAGTTATTACGCCTTTTCAATAATTATTTACTTGACAACATGCTCATAGCTTAGGTAGTAGTTTCATCACTGACGGAGAACCTGAAATTTTTTGTTTTCGCTCCTGCAAAGAGAGAACCATCTCAAGTTTTCCATCTTAAAAAGTGTAGAGAATGTGGGCTGTATTCTATTTATATTCGATTAGATGACCCATCTTATCTACCTGCTCACTCGATATCTTTACGGACTCCTTGAAAAGTGTCCAAGTGACACTCTCTTGACAGCCAGGAATTGTTAATGAGCCATGATACCGGAAGTACTTTTGAAGTGTGGTCCAGGGCAGCATGGGTGCCAGACCAAACGGACGAATGTTGCTCCATGACGAGCCTGTGAAATTGAGATAAGACACGCCAGGGGAGACATGAAGTATATCATTGCGAACAAATAAGCCTGAAAGTTGATTTAGTAGTGTTTGTTCTCCTACCAACAAATGTCTCTCACGTTGCTTCCCGCTAAAGCGTGCGAAGGATTTTCTTGGAAATATGATCGAATGTTAAGCTTGACTGAGAATGAATTGAATAACACTGTACAGAGGGTTTGCAGTAGGCAAGATTTTCAAGAAGGGTTCTACGCTAGCATTGTACTGGCTTTACAATGCGTGTTCAGTAGTTAGGAAAAATTATTCACATTTGTTTGCCAAGGAGGTGGTCAAATGCTTATCAAAACTCCCTCCCCTCCCCTCCCCTCATTAGTCTCTGAGTTCTTCATGTGGGAGTTCGAAAGTTTCTGATGTTTCCTAACAGTAGCTTGTACTTGTGAGATTGGCCCCCATTTGGTTTACGCCACACAGGTGATTGGCAAGCTGGGAATTGATTAGCAGGTACTTTCTTTTCACCTCTGAGCAGCCGATAAGACGGAGTCGCACGTTAAGAGTTTAATTTCCAACGATTTTTTGGTGTATTGACTAAAGTTAACTAATTGTTGCACAAACCAAGAAAACAACAACAAAAACGTACTACTGTTCGCGAGTTTTGTGGCATATTCAGTCAGAAATGAAAATGCTTGATTGGTTTCACCACCAACCTGAAACAAGAAATAACACAGAGATAACTTTTCATCGTAATGCAATAATGTAAAATACACTCAGATAAAATTGGAGATCTTTTCGCCTTACCTCGATGAACACTCCAAGCACGGCAAGCCCGTCTGATTTGTTTTTTGCTACGTCAAATCCTGAGTACCTGGTGTTGTAGCTGACGAAGTGCAACTTTTCATGCAAAACGAAAACTTCACGTCAGTCAATTTTGAGAATGTGTATAGTTATCCAATCCTTTAAGCCGGGTACCCGTTCATTTCTTCTCGCACGTCAGATCAGTGAAGTAAAGCGCTATTGGACCCAGAGCTTACTTGGATCAGTAAGTTTAAAACTTTCCTTGTTGTGGAGCTTTCCTTTTTTGTTTAAAGGACTTTAGGGACAGATCAAAGATCAACATTCAACGGGCTATGGCCCTCTTTAAGTTTGGAAAACTCCCTCGGAAGTCGGTAAATTCGGTTATAAAAGTTTTATATCGCCGCCATAGTTGTCTTAAATGTTCCCCAAAGGAAGGGCTTTCCAGAACCAATTTTTTGAAGGACTGTGGTGTAACAGAATACGTTTAAAATTTCATGCAGAGTCGTAAAACAGCATGGTACTCAGTGTTTTGGTTGGAGTACAGTATTTTTATGCTCACAGTCCATATTGAAATGCTCTGAAAAGAATCACTGGTGAGCAAGACGCTAGCCAATAACGACGAGAAGCACGCTGAGGTGGTATGTAAGAAGCCAGCTCACGTACCACGCCAAATCGTTTTCTCTCCGCGCTCACACCTCGCTCAGGCTTCCTCGTAACAATAGAAAAATATGTGCTCATTGGTAACATAAGGAATACGTTCTTCATCTACTTACCTCAGCGGCGTACGCCTTTCCGTCCAAAGTGTGTTCTGATCCTTTTGTTTTATCCGACCCCCAGTGAAAGTGGAATTGAACAGTGGTGAAAACACCATCCAGTCCTCCGCCGCGAACGGAGTAGATTTTCGGTTTGAATTTAAATACAATTGTACCAATATTGCCATTGTTTACAGCTGTAAAGTTAGTTTCAGAGGGTTGATTTTCGTAGTTCGTGAGTATGAAATCGGTCATCTTCTCATACTTAGTATCAGAGATTTTTATGTTGATGGGCGATTGCTCCGTTCCAGATTTGCAGATACCTTTCCAGTTTTTTGGACCTATAATACATCAATTGCGTTTAGACTGCAAAGACGACATTTTCATGTGAAATAACAATCATTCTGAACAGAAATAAAAGGAGTCGCGATAACGCTGGAGTGGACGAAATATAGTATAGAAGCAATACAATCTTTTAGACAAATTAATGTTATAGTCATTTGGAATATGTTAAAAGTATTACCATCTTGGGATGTCACATTATAAGACCACGAATCTATGAAATATAATGAAAATATCATAAATCACTTGAATTGAATAAATTACAAATTAGGTATTGACCTGGTAACGTGGTTGGACGAGTGCTACTTTAATATGGTGGTGCTTTGAGAAGCACAAGCAGCCGAGGCTTCACAAATGACGTTTAAAGTTTTACTTCGAGAGAATAATGTAAAGCACAATTAAGTTCGGATATTCTTCTATCAGCTCATTCTCATACACTTTCCTTCAATTTAATTTCAAATTGAAACCGGCCCAATGGAGAGGAATTTGTTTTTACTCACTTGCGGTCGCGAAAACACTTAGAGCCATCCAGCTGACACAAATGAAAACAGGCAGCAGAAAACTGTTCATAGTTAGCTTCACCTGAAAAAAATCTTTAATAAAAGAGCGAGTGATTTTAAGAACTAAACTTAAAGTTTCGAATCTCTCTAGGAGAGTAAATTGTTTCAAAACTTTTCTTGAAAAATTATATCTATTTTTATCGATTTTCGAAGATATTGCTTGGTTCGATTTTTATGCTGTCGTCGGTGGAAAATTATTTAATTGAAATAAAAAGCTGTGGGACAGTCATATCTGGTGACACAATTTCCAACCATAAGTGAGCAAAGATTGGAAACTAACTCTTTTGGATGCTCAAGTGATTCGAAACTTAGAACTAAGATCCGGTGATGTGCATGCAGTTTCGATTTGAGGGGCGAAACTAAAGCACAATCGATACTCTTGCCTTTTACTTTTTTGTACTGATTCTGCAGGCACCAGCTTTTCTTGTTGTATGACTGATCACTGCACCGATTAACATATTTAAATAGCGAGTCATGTAGCCACGTGTGTTCCGTAACATGAGGCATCGTCTAGGAGCCTCTAAACAGCGAATAAAAATGATTTTGACTTAGGTTTTTCAAACAGAGTCGGGAGGCTGTTAAACTTGGAAGGCTTACTCTTCGGTGTTTGCCATTAGCTTTAAGAGTTGAACAACGGCTTTTCAGCCAAATGCGAACAGATAACTGTAGAGTTCACTCTAATTTTCAAATCGAGCAGCATCGTCAGCTACGCAGGCTAATGATTAAATGTCACTAACCTATAGAATTACTCACTTCCTATCGATAAATTGCTAAGAAATTAGAGTTTTACCTTGAAAAAGAACTCTTTTTGGTGTTCCGCTCCTTGTGTCCGAAGTGGAGCCGGAGGTGCAAAGAGAAATGCGATAAACTGATTCACGTCGACGTCTTTTATCGCAGAGTATTCACGCGTCATTTACCTTGTTCAGTCTTCCAATCATTATTTACAACTATATACAACACGGCACCCTAAGGAGTTGTTTTCTTTAACAACCAAAATAATTTGAGCGGAATTAGTGCAGAATATCATATCAGTGTTCACATTACAGGACAAATCGAGTTTTACGAAGAATCACAAATCAGCTGTTACGCGAAACGCAGCTTTTGGAATACAGATTTTAAACAATTCAAAGTGCTGGATGAGTTCTGACTCTCACATATGGCTTCGTTTCCTGGTAAATTAATCAAGATGACACCCTTTTGATGATGAATTTGTCTATTCTCCTTATTGTTTTTCCTTGATAATGTATCGATATTGTTATTAGAAGTTAAACGGCTGGTAGATACAGTGTTTAAATGTCTACCCTAGCTCGTGCTGTTTTCGTTATTGTTTTTGCTCCCAACGAGAAACTTCGACAAGTTTCCTAACGTTCGCACCTATCATGCGGCTATCCGTGTACGTGTGGACGAAAGGCACACTTGGCTAGTCAAAAGCTTTTTTTAACGGTTCCCCAAATTTTGACATTTCACCAACTTTTTTAACTTTGAGAAACATCTCAAGATATAGTCGGTTTTTATCATGATGTCAATATGAACCTGTGTAACTGAGAAAGGTAAAATTTTTCATGGGATATTCAGTCATTTCCCTTTTGGTAACGAACTCTATTGGGCACGCAGTGCAAGAATCCTCTTCTTATTTTGGTAACGAACTCTATTGAGCACGCAGTGCAAGAATCCTCTTCTTATTTCTGCAGGTCAGCGATTGCACTTTAAGTGTATCAAACGTTTCAATCGAACAGGTGGTTAGTTTATTGGAATGAATGTCTCAGATTGTGGATAACGAAGGGACACTTAGGAGCAAATCCGTGCAAGAATCAAACATTGCACGGCAAAGTTAAAAAATTAAAATTCGCTGTTCTTTTGCATACAAGTACCCTTTAGGAAGTATACAATTGCTGTGCAGTTTTTTCCTCGAAAAAATTATTTGCTTCCGAAAAAACGAAAACGTTTCGRTTTCAGTCCCGAGATCGATTTGGCGACACCGAACAGGTTTAAAATAGGTCATGATTCACTCGACTCGCGTATCAAAAAAGCTGCGCTGGAAAAAGCTATCATAGTTCCAATTGTTGTACAACTTTTCATAGTCTAAACACCGTGATTTCATAAAGATTAGATTAATTCCAGTATTCAAGAGAAGTCAAAAGCTTAGGGCTCTCCCGTGTTGCGTTAAACGGTAGGCGAAACAACGATAATTTTGAGCATGTGCCTTTGCTCAGAATTTCGTAAGATTACGAACGATAATACTAGAGTTGATCATCTTTCAGAATATGTAAAGTTCAGCTTGGGGAAAGGAATTTGGAATTTTTCAAAACTTTTTGAAAATCGTGAAGAAAGATATTACGCAATCCTGTTGTGTACATGTGACCATCAAGAAATTGATAGAATAAAAATTAACACGACTCCGATGCATATAGCAAAGTAAATATAATAACCCTAACTCAAATATTATATTCTTAGCTGTTCGTATGAGTCCAGCGTTCTTCTGTTTTGCCGTTTCTCCATTCTGCGGTCTCCGTAAGTTTGACATCTGTACCGTCGCTTTATGTCGCGGCTCGATTAAAACGGCTGCTATTAAAAACGTCTAAACTTTGCAATTTGTGTTCCGGCTTGTGTGCTTGATACAACACGTTGGTGTTCTTAGCGACAAAATTGATTAAAAAACTGATCGAGCCGACTATTTAAAGCTTATGTTCAGAGTTTTCTGCCATCGATCCTGTTCATCAGTTATCTGTCTGACAGATTTGCATAGAGGCCGAACGAGCTTGCGTGACAGTTGCGTGACAGTTGTTCATGGAATCGGGTGGGGGAGAAGGAGGTATGTGGTCTCTCTCTATAATGCGTTACTTTGGGGTAGCAGATTTCTCTTTACATCGCTAAGAAACTATTTTACCAAGAATTTATCTTCCTTGTTCCCCTCAATTTTATGTAATTAAATCAACCTCATTAGTGTATGTTTATTTCTCTCGTGAACTAAATAAAAATTCTAAATTTAAGAAAGACTATACTTTGCGTATTCCTGCCTTGGGGAAATGATGGATGTTTTTGCTCTTTCGGGAGTATAGTTCTCGTTCGCAAATTTATCATATTA